ATATAGTTGTGCAATAATTGGCTGTTGATTGCTGGTGTTGACTTCTTGATGTGTAGTGCCTCGCAAACGTCAAGCCGCCTGCTATCGCTGTATCTATCGATGATTTCTGTGTTGTTTACTAGGATTTCTCTGGCGATGGTTTGGTTATGGGAAGAGATTATATGTTCCTTAATGGAGCCCTGTTGTTTATGCATCGTTACACGCCTAGAAAGAGATGTTGTTGTCTTGCCTATATACTGGGTTTTTTGGAGCTTACAGTCCCCAAGTGGGCATTTGAAGGCATAGACGACGTTAGTCTCTTTTAAAGCGTTCTGTTTCGTGTCTGGAGAGTTTCTCATGAGTAGGCTGGCCGTTTTTCTGGTTTTATAGTAAATCGTCAGTTGTATCCTCTGATTTTTGTCTGTAGGGAGAACGTTTCTATTAACAATATCTTTCAGGACCCTTTCCTCTGTTTTATGAGCTGTGGAAAAGAAGTTCCTGTAAAATAGTCTAATAGGGGGTATAGGTGTTGTGTTAGTTGTCTCTTCAGAGGTTGCATGGCTTTTCACTTTCCTTCTTATGATGTCTTCGATGAAACCATTGGAGAAGCCGTTATTGACTAGAACCTGCCTTACCCTACAGAGTTCTTCGTCGACTTGCTTCCATTCTGAGCTGTGGCTGAGAGCACGGTCGACGTATGCGTTAAAAACACTCCTCTTGTACCTGTCAGGGCAGTCGCTGTTGGCATTTAGGCACATTCCTATGTTTGTTAACAAACATGTTTGTTATGTTAACAAACATTGTTATGTTATGTTTGATTCCTATGTTTGTTAACAAACATAGGAATGTGCCTAAATGCCAACAGCGACTGCCCTGACAGGTACAAGAGGAGTGTTGTTAACGCATACGTCGACCGTGCTCTCAGCCACAGCTCAGAATGGAAGCAAGTCGACGAAGAACTCTGTAGGGTAAGGCAGGTTCTAGTCAATAACGGCTTCTCCAATGGTTTCATCGAAGACATCATAAGAAGGAAAGTGAAAAGCCATGCAACCTCTGAAGAGACAACTAACACAACACCTATACCCCCTATTAGACTATTTTACAGGAACTTCTTTTCCACAGCTCATAAAACAGAGGAAAGGGTCCTGAAAGATATTGTTAATAGAAACGTTCTCCCTACAGACAAAAATCAGAGGATACAACTGACGATTTACTATAAAACCAGAAAAACGGCCAGCCTACTCATGAGAAACTCTCCAGACACGAAACAGAACGCTTTAAAAGAGACTAACGTCGTCTATGCCTTCAAATGCCCACTTGGGGACTGTAAGCTCCAAAAAACCCAGTATATAGGCAAGACAACAACATCTCTTTCTAGGCGTTTAACGATGCATAAACAACAGGGCTCCATTAAGGAACATATAATCTCTTCCCATAACCAAACCATCGCCAGAGAAATCCTAGTAAACAACACAGAAATCATCGATAGATACAGCGATAGCAGGCGGCTTGACGTTTGCGAGGCACTACACATCAAGAAGTCAACACCAGCAATCAACAGCCAATTATTGCACAACTATATTCTACCCACCTCAAGACTCCGCTCCAATATAGAAGCATCAAGAAATATGGACCAATAGGCTTTCTACAAACACTTCTATTCAATATCCATTGTTTCGTGTTCTGTCTTGTGTTGATACTTTTAATACCCTATTAATATCCTCTAATGCCACATCATCCTTCCCACCTCACTCAAATGTAATGCCACATCACCCTTCCCACCTCACTCAAAAGTAGATATAAAATCAGGGAAATGCAAGTTCTAATCAGTTGTGTATTTGTGAAGTCTTTGAAAATGTAATAAGTTTTACGAAACGCGCCCGTGTCGCGTCAGACTAGAAATAAAAATGAATTTTGGAGAAGTGATTTTTGATTTACCTCCAACAGTGAAGCATAATGTACGAAAGATTGAGAAAATTCGTGTTAGAATTATTAATCTTACTTTTTCGGTCATATTTAATAAAATATATATATATATATATATATATATATATATATATATATATATATATATATATATATATATATATATATATATACTTACTCACTAGCTGGGGTATCCGGCATTGCCCGGGTCGCTCTGGTCTCACTGTCTGTCAACCTCGAGCTGACACACTATTAAATTTATAAACATAAAATATTATTCATATTCATTCAAAATAGGCGATTAATAGTTTCATATTTCATCCACCAATGATAAAATCCGGTGTTATTTAAAGCTGAATTTTGCCACGTACAGCATATATTACTACATTAGTTAAAATATATTTTATGCTGCTATAGTCAAGCAGCATTAGAAAAATATACTGCTAGGAGTTTGGGTCCATAATTCTTCCTGTTTAAACTGTTCCCAGATCAGTAATTAACCTAATTAGAATATGTTGTTCTAAATTAGTCTTTTGCGCTGAAGACTGAAGCTTCGCTACAAACACACAACGTAACTGTCTCTATTTTCCTCTCATTACAACTTGTAATAAAGTTGTTACATCTTGTTATATCGTTTATAAGACGTATCAGAACGTGGCTGCAAGTTGTTAGGTGCTGTTAAAACGTTGTAGCAAATTATTAGGTGTTGTTCAAATGTTGAAGCAGGTTGTTAGGTGTTGTTCAAATGTTGAAGCAGGTTGTTAGGTGTTGTTCAAATGTTGAAGCAGGTTGTTAGGTGTTGTTCAAATGTTGAAGCAGGTTGTTAGGTGTTGTTCAAATGTTGAAGCAAGTTGTTAGGTGCTGTTAAAACGTTGTAGCAAGTTGTTAAGTGTTGTTCAAACTTTGTAGCAACTTTGTAGTTTCGTTGAGTGATTGGGAGTTCCTGTTCCTTGATTGCTAAACACTTTATGAATGGTGAAAATATCCATTAATTATGTTTGAGAACATTTTTTTATGTTGTTAAATGTTTATGTTGATCACTCGTGCAACATATAACCTTGTGTTATATGTTGCATTACCAAAGATTCATTACTAGTATTTTACCCAAATAAACAGTAATGAATTGTTCATATTCCAACCAACACACAAATAATACACACAAAATAAACAGATACATACAGATGCACACGCACACACTCACACACGCACACGCACATACTCACACACGCACACATGCGCACATGCACACACGAACACACACATAGTGGATAACGAGGCAATGTTGAAAATGGTAACGACAGAGCCAGAGAACCCTTATGGTAGCTGGAGACACAGATGAACCAGAGACACGCTAGGGTAAAACTTTTTCATGGTTAGAGTTTCAGGCAGATGGTGATAGTTGAGGCAAATTCAACGAGCAGCTTCAAGATAACATGCGACAGGAAATACAATGGAAAGGTGTGGCTGTGGAGCTATTGCCCAACCCTGTAAACATTTTGTAAATACATCTATGGGACTACACATGCTCGCGTGCTCCCTCCCTCACATTCAAATATATGCACATCAAAACTAATTAACTCAAAGCCGAACTTAAAGGTATTACCCACCTGACAAGTGAGGGGGATTATGAGTACCCACCAGACAAGTGTGGGGATTATGAGTACCCACCTGACAAGTGAGGGGTACTATGAGTACAAACCAGACAAGTGTGGAGTACTATGAGTACCCACCAGACAAGTGTGGGGTACTATGAGTACCCACCTGACAAGTGAGGGGACTATGAGTACCCACCAGACAAGTGTGGGGGACTATGAGTACCCACCTGACAAGTGTGGGGACTATAAGTACCCACCTGACAAGTGAGGGGACTATGAGTACCCACCAGACAAGTGTGGGGACTATGAGTACCCACCAGACAAGTGTGGGGGACTATGAGTACCCACCTGACAAGTGTGGGGACTATAAGTACCCACCTGACAAGTGAGGGGACTATGAGTACCCACCAGACAAGTGAGGGGACTATGAGTACCCACCAGACAAGTGTGGGGGACTATGAGTACCCACCAGACAAGTGTGGGGACTATGAGTACCCACCAGACAAGTGTGGGGGACTATGAGTACCCACCTGACAAGTGAGGGGACTATGAGTACCCACCAGACAAGTGAGGGGACTATGAGTACCCACCAGACAAGTGTGGGGGACTATGAGTACCCACCAGACAAGTGTGGGGACTATGAGTACCCACCAGACAAGTGTGGGGGACTATGAGTACCCACCTGACAAGTGTGGGGGACTATGAGTACCCACCAGACAAGTGAGGGGACTATGAGTACCCACCAGACAAGTGAGGGGACTATGAGTACCCACCAGACAAGTGTGGGGACTATGAGTACCCACCAGACAAGTGAGGGGACTATGAGTACCCACCAGACAAGTGTGGGGACTATGAGTACCCACCTGACAAGTGAGGGGACTATGAGTACCCACCTGACAAGTGTGGGGGACTATGAGTACCCACCAGACAAGTGTGGGGAACTATGAGTACCCACCAGACAAGTGTGGGGACTATGAGTACCCACCTGACAAGTGAGGGGACTATGAGTACCCACCTGACAAGTGAGGGGACTATGAGTACCCACCAGACAAGTGAGGGGACTATGAGTACCCACCAGACAAGTGTGGGGGACTATGAGTACCACCAGACAAGTGAGGGGGACTATGAGTACCCACCTGACAAGTGTGGGGACTATGAGTACCCACCTGACAAGTGAGGGGACTATGAGTACCCACCTGACAAGTGTGGGGACTATGAGTACCCACCTGACAAGTGAGGGGACTATGAGTACCCACCAGACAAGTGTGGGGGACTATGAGTACCCACCAGACAAGTGTGGGGACTATGAGTACCCACCTGACAAGTGTGGGGGACTATGAGTACCCACCAGACAAGTGAGGGGACTATGAGTACCCACCAGACAAGTGTGGGGGACTATGAGTACCCACCAGACAAGTGTGAGGGACTATGAGTACCCACCTGACAAGTGAGGGGACTATGAGTACCCACCTGACAAGTGAGGGGACTATGAGTACCCACCTGACAAGTGTGGGGACTATGAGTACCCACCTGACAAGTGAGGGCACTATGAGTACCCACCTGACAAGTGAGGGGACTATGAGTACCCACCAGACAAGTGTGGGGACTATGAGTACCCACCTGACAAGTGAGGGCACTATGAGTACCCACCTGACAAGTGAGGGGACTATGAGTACCCACCTGACAAGTGAGGGGACTATGAGTACCCACCAGACAAGTGTGGGGACTATGAGTACCCACCTGACAAGTGAGGGCACTATGAGTACCCACCTGACAAGTGAGGGGACTATGAGTACCCACCTGTCGGAAAAACCGACGCCATTTATAAACTTTTAATACAATATGCAGATAATATTGCCGCTGTTTTGTAATAAGTAATTAATCCTAGAATTAGTGCTTTAATCACTCACAGAAAATGAGGCATAGTGGAATTTTCCTCGGGAGAAAACGAGGATTAGCACTGCCACGTCGCTATTAAATTCCCCAGCTATATTATTGGGAATCATTCATAATACATCTGTCTTTGAACGGAATACAACGGAATACAACATAAAACCATTACCCCATGAACCAACTTAATTATTACTACTAAAATAGGATAAATATAGGCTTTCTCTCCACTTCTTAATAAAACGCATCTGGAGAACATGGGATGCGGGCAGTGGGAAAGGAGCTAGGCTGTCGCCATTTAAAACAACAAGAGTCTTGTAGGGGCAAATCTGGCTCCAATAATTTTCCCTTGGACAACAGTGTTATGGGATGTAAAGTGCTCCCATTATCATCACATTTATCGTCTACAATAAGGGAAGTGTCTTTTCTGATTCCTATACTATCTAGTTTATCATTGGCCAGTAATATTAGATTTAGGAATGCCGGTTAGCACACGAGACTAGACACAAAACAATGTAATTATTATTAACCTCATCTAATAAATCATTGCAATATTTTCCCTGATATAGCTGTCATATTTAGGATTACAGCTGTTATTATGAGTGCCCTTTGACAGTTGTAATTGAAGAGGAAGTAATAGCAATTACTTATCCCTGTTCATATCTGGTTGTCTAGGCCTTATAGCAACTATACAGGTAAACAGATAAGGCTTCCAACATGTATTAACTAATACAGTGTAGTTGTAGTATAACTTAGCATTAATATTGTAGTGAATGTCTATCAATTTATAATTTGATTGCTAGGCTATATATATATATAAATAATAAACCCCTAGAATGTGTAGGAAGGCGATTTGTGGGAAAATTTAAATTATACAGTCCACTTTAAACATCATACAGTTTGCTATCGAAATATCTAAATTAACGTAAAATATAAATTGATATAAATTAAATAAAAATCCCACGAGTCATTTTCCCCACTCCACCTGACAAGTGTGGGGGGACTATGAGTAACCACCGGTCAAGTGTGGGGTCTATGAGTAACCACCTGTCAAGTGCGGGGTCTATGAGTAACCACCGGTCAAGTGTGGGGACTATGAGTAACCACCTGTCAAGTGCGGGGTCTATGAGTAACCACCGGTCAAGTGTGGGGACTATGAGTAACCACCTGTCAAGTGCGGGGACTGTGTACCCACTTGAAACATTGTATCGTGTCTTGTCCAATTATTATCGTTTTTGACAAGTCTGTCTTTCTGCTTTAAGTTTAGCATTGAGACTGTCCACTCCAGAGCCGTGGCGGCCGCCAGACATTATGATAGAGTGCATCCAGGACGCTGGATGCACTATAGAAAATATTTATTGATCAAAATTGTAAAAACAGAACGTATTTCTCTTCAAGTCTTTTTCAACCTTAAGAAAGTTTGCATTCTTACCTCACTCATGCATTAAAATATATTATCATACTGAGAATGGAATATATATGAAGCTAAATGTATATTCCCTTCAGGGTATGTGGGAATAAGCAATGGTATTTTACAGATATTCATTTGTGAATTTCCAGCGACAGTTTTCACAGCTGGACGAGAGACGGGCCACACACACCAGCACTCCTGGACCCGCTGGTGAGTCCCTAGACTGTAATTAAGATTCAACCGGAGGTGCTTGGGATATCTTGGTAAGAGCAATATCCGCAACAATAGTTGCCTACGGCATGGTTTCTTTAAGAATAGAGGGGGGGGGGAATATATTGGATATAAATAGGAGCTGCCTCGTATGGGTCAATAAAAGCTGCTCGTATGGGTCAACAGGTCTTCCTATGTTATTACATTGTTCCTTGGGCACGGGTCGCTGGTCACTGTCAACCTCCGTTGACACTTCTTGCGTCAGCAGCCCCTTGAAGGAAATCAGCCGACCACGTCACGCGAGCAGGCTCCGCCAGGCAGCACACACACACACCTGCTGTCATCAGTACACATATGCACCACTCGGCGCATACAGGCGGGTCTCTCTCTCTCTCTCTCTCTCTTCTCTCTCTCTCTCTCTCTCTCTCCTCTCTCTCTCTCTCTCTCTCTCTCTCTCTCTCTCTCTCTCTCTCTCTCTCTCTCTCTCTCTCTCTCCTCTCTCTCTCTCTCTCTCTCTCTCTCTCTCTCTCTCTCTCTCTCTCTCTCTCTCTCTCTCTCTCTCTCTCTCTCTCTCTCTCTCTCTCTCTCTCTCTCTCTCTCTCTCTCTCTCTCTCTCTCTCTCTCTCTCTCTCTCTCTCTCTCTCTCTCTCTCTCTCTCTGAATGTCCTGGGGGTATCTTCTCTTCAACTCTTATCTCATTATCAGTCCTCACTTAATTTTTATTTTAACCTCTCATTATTACTTGGCAGGTTAATATATCGTCTCTCTGACACACGAGAAATTTCACAGTGGCAAGAGGAAAAGCATTTAAACAAACTGACATTTTCACACACTAACAAATATATACAAATTATTCATTAGGTGAGGTCACCAAATCAGGGTTGGCTCCTGCTCCATAAAAATATGTACTTGTTTGTTACAATCACTTACCAGTGTAATCATATATGTAAATCTGTGTACTGTTATATTCTACTGACACATTATAACAAACTTCCAGGTTCTCACCTGTGACATTTCCCTACATTCTGGTACAATTAAAAAGGCCAATCTATTCGTGATAAAATATCTTTCAATTTTATAACACAGTGTAATATGTCCTTGGCACGATAATATGGATGAAAAACATGCCAAAGCAAATAGCCACTGTTTTGAGAAACACTATACTCTCTTGACGTGTTGTGGTGACGAATTATTTCTGAAAACACAAAGTTATCTTCCCCATATTTCTGTTTAATCTGTCTGGATGTAGGATTGGTAATCACAATGTTCACAACAAAGAAAACAAACAAAATCTTTCGCCTGTAACCAGTGTGTCAGTCATACAAATACAGGTGTAGCTCGCACAAATAAATAAAAATAATCGCGATGGATTTAGAGTAGATTTATCAGGTAGTGAGGGATGGCCCTCGTTCACTGGTGACCCAAAGCATGTCTTGTCGCACCTCGTCTGACTCCTCCTCTGCCGATCCCACCTCCAAGCAAGCACACAATCCTGTAATAACGTTTATACATAAAAAAATACGCCACCAGAAACAATGAGAACGAAAATTTAATCAAATAATGTTTTCACCGAGTACTGTCTAACACTGCCGCCGGCGACGTTTGGCAACCCCTCCCCCCCCCCCACGAGTTCACACACACTTTTTATTTATTTATTTATTTTTATATATATATATACAAGAAGGTACATTGGGTTTGTGAGTATACATTGGATAGTACAGTATTTACATTTTTGTAAAGCCACTAGTACGCGCAGCGTTTCGGGCAGGTCCTTAATCTAGCAGATAATTTTAAGTAGGTAATTTCTATCAGAATTGATAAATGATAAAGATACATTGCAAGAGAAAATGAGATGAGAGAGCTTAGTAAGTATATTAAAGCACATTGTTATATTAAAGCTCTGATTGATTACATTGACAGCTTCATTAGTAATTTAAACAAGATTAATAGACACCATACAGCAGATTGACAGCACACATAAGACAGCAATGATCACAATGGTAAAGATGTTCAGATTGGGTACATAAAGATTGGGAGACTGGGTAGCAAAAGATACAGATAAACAAGATTTATAAACACCATACAGCAGATTGGCAGCACATATAAGAAGACAGCAATGATCACAATGGTAAAGATGTTCAAATTGGGAACATAAAGGTTGGGAGATTGGTTAGCAATAGATACAGTGCAATTTTAAGGCAAAAAGTGAAAAACTATGAAGATGAAATTAGGTACTTTTTAGTATTGATTTTGAATGATGTAAAAGTTGGACAGCTTTTCAATTCAGTAGGGAGTGAGTTCCATAAACTGGGTCCCTTTATTTGCATAGAGTGTTTACACAGATTAAGTTTAACTCTGGGGATATCAAAGAGATATTTATTTCTGGTGTGGTGATAATGGGTCCTATTACATCTGTCCAGGAAGACTTTCAGACAAGGATTTGCATTTAAGAACAGGATTTTGTAAATGTAGTTGACACAAGAGAATTTGTGGAGTGAGATTACGTTTAGCATGTTTAGGGAGTTAAACAAGGGGGCTGTGTGTTGTCTGAAAGCAGAATTTGATATTATTCTGATAGCAGATTTTTGCTGGGTGATGATGGACTTGAGGTGGTTTGCAGTGTTTGAACCCCATGCACAGATACCATAGTTGAGATAGGGATAGATTAGTGCATAATATAGAGAGATGAGAGCAGAGTTAGGTACATAATATCTGATTTTGGAGAGTATACCAACTGTTTTAGAGACTTTCTTAGTTATGTGTTGTATGTGGGTACTGAAGTTGAGTCTCTTGTCTAGGAATATGCCAAGAAACTTTCCATCATTTTTATTGCTAATGTTTACATTGTCTATCTGAAGCTGAATTGCATTTGTAGATTTGCTTCCAAATAGGATGTAGTAGGTCTTTTCTATGTTAAGTGTTAGTTTGTTGGTTGACATCCATAAGTGGACTTTTTTTTAGTTCATTATTAACAACATCCTTTAGTGTATGTGGGTTGGGGTTGGAGTAGATGAGGGTAGTATCATCACCAAACAAAATAGGTTTCAGAATGTTAGAGACATTAGGCAGATCATTGATGTATATAAGAAATAGAAGAGGTCCCAAGATGCTGCCCTGTGGCACTCCAACGGTTATTGGTAGAATGGGAGAGATTATATTATTGATGGCTACACATTGGTGTCTATCACTAAGATAGGATTGGATATAGTCCAGTGCATGGCCTCATATTCCATAATGATGGAGTTTACATAAGAGGTAATCGTGATTAACAGTATCAAAGGCCTTTCTCAGGTCAATGAATAGTCCAATTGGAAACTCATTTTTGTCAAGGGCTAAGTAAATTATATCAAGGAGACTAATAATTGCATCGTTGGTACTCTTTTGAGAGCGGAAGCCAAACTGACAGGGGCTAAGAATGTCGAATTTTACGAGATAGGAGTAGAGCTGTTTGTAGATAATTTTTTCAAATATTTTTGATAGTATGGGTAAGTTCGATATTGGTCTATAGTTGTTTATGTTTGCCGGATTACCTCCTTTATGAACTGGCGTTACTCTTGCTTTTTTAAGGATATCAAGGAAGGTATGACACTCAAGGGATTTGTTGAACAGCAGAGCTATAGGTGGCGCAAGGGCATGGGAGGCGCTCTTGTATACAATGGATGGGATTTCACTGATATTCCCAGCTTTGGTTTTTAGTGAGTGTATGATGGACACAACAACTGTCGGGCTGACTGGTGAGAGGAGAAGAGAGTTTGGATAGCTGCCTGAGAGATATGTGTTGATATGTGTCTGAGTCTGTGGGACTTTACTTGCAAGGTTAGCACCAATCGATGAAAAGAAGCTATTAAATTAATTCACCATTTCTAAGTCAGATGACGGTGTAAGGCCATCCTTAGAGAGTGTCACACTGCTCAAACCCTCTCACTCACTCTCAAGCCTCCGCTTAACACATATCTATCACTCATCTTCCTGGCAATCACATCTTTACGCCCAGTTCTATATCAAATCCTCCTTACTACATACTCTGGTTATATAAAGTCATTATGCATCACTACGAATCACTGTATAATCCTCTTCACATCACATGGTAAATCACACCAAATCAAGGACCTCTCACTTGTTAGTCGAGGCGGTGTGTCGTCTGCAAAATCAAAATGGCGCCTGTGGGTCAAGCTCTCCCCCTTTGACTTTTCCAGTCCTTTTGGCCGCCTGTGATTCTCTTTTTCTAACTTGTGTGTGAGGTCAACATAGGCACCCATTTCCTGGTACACTTGTTACTTTGTCCACTTGTTGGACCAACAAAACCTCGGATTCGGACTGGGGTTCATGACCAAAGGGCTTGTTAAGGGTAGAGGAAGGAAGTATGAGAAATTCAGGAAATAGGATGGGAGTGGAGGATGAGTAGGGAGGAAGTTCGGTGTCCTGTCTGCCTCGGACAGGCATGTGGGTCTTTTTGTTTCATTTGAGTGTAGTGTTGGTGTTAGGGCCACTATGGGCCAGTAACCGGGTTCTTGATGTTATAACCTCCTTTACAGTATCCAACTCCAAGTCGGTAGTATGCTTTTAGGGACTGTAGTAGTGCAATGAATAAATAGAATAAATAAGAGGGGGATAAACAATACACGACTCCCTTCACCACAATATATATATTAATATTACAGTATATATACAATTATGTACAATAGCGCCTTTTTCACGCAGGACACTAATATTTCAGCAGTGTTCACCAACTCCAGTGTTTTCACAAACACAGCGCCCTGTCCACTCGTGCTGGACAACACTGACGAGTTCACCTTTTTATGGGCCAGTCCACCCACACAGTATCCCAATGCACCTACACCCCACCTTCGCTCTCCAGCTGCTCACTGGCAGAGGGCTTCAGCAACACGCTGACAGGGGTCCCAAACCAACTCATACAGGGGTAGCTAACCCCTGTCAGAAGCCTCCAGCAGTTTGCTAGTAGCACTTCACGCTAGGCATATCACTGTACAACCCGTTCTCGCAAATTTAATAAGTCAATATTGACTTATTAAATATGTGCACAGGTGACATACTTAACATAATAGTTTCCCTTGAAAAGCTTCATATAAAACACCGACCTTACCTAACCTACTTAGTATGTTAAGATAAGCATCTTATTGCTTCGTAATTACAATTATTACCTAACCTATACCTATAATAGGTTAAGTAACAATTGTAATTACGAAGCTATAACATGCTTATTTTAACATACTAAGTAGGTTAGGTAAGGTCGGTGTTTTCTATGAAGCTTTTCAAGGGAAACTATTATGTTTAGTATGTCACCTATGCACGCAACTAATAAGTCAATATTGACTTATTAATTTTACGAGAACGGGTTGCACTGTAACCATTAATAGCCAATCCCAGGGTATGCCGATCTTCACCAACACTGCATATACCAGCAGCTAACATACTTAGATCGACGGTGGCTACTTAGTCTTCTTGCAGGACCAAGCTAAGGGTTCGTGGACTGCTTAAGGAAAACAGCCCTCATCAGTACAATCGTCTCCACATGTCACTTCTCTGGACATAAAACGTCATTAATTAGATGGACAGTACACTGGGGAAAACCATGGAGGTAACACTCGTTCACCGGGGAGTTGACATTATGCTTGTTGCCACAACCTAGATGGCGCTAATCGTGACATGCCACCCACCGAAGGTCATCCACAATGACCTCTCTTTCTAACTATGGCAGCAAACTGGAGCCATTTGCCGACACCACGCCACCACCAACAGATGGCGTTGTCTACATATCGCCCGATATTAGGGGAGTTTGAGTGCAGACTCATAGATGGCACTGGAGTTGCCACGCCACACACCGACGATGGTGTCGATACCGCAACAGCGGGTTGTGAGCACGGTGGTTAGGCTGCCTAGTGTGGGTGTCCACTAGGCTCCTGTTGGGTTGCATTGAGCCGGTAACAGTGGCTTTGTGAGGCTGCTCCTACCAACATCAGGCTTTCTGCACTGTTTGCAAAAAACAAAAGAGGTTTTCGTTTTGTATTATTGTTTTTTGTTTTGTTTTATTGTTTTTTGTTTTGTTTTATTGTTTTTTGTTTTGTTTTATGGATATGTCTGTTTTTTTTATGTATAGACTGGGTTCAGGAGGGCCCTCTCCTCTGGGTCTCCTGGTAGGTTGCTCTGTATTTGGGGTCTTGGAAATTTCAGGTCGTGGGTGTACCTGACGTGGTGTACGTGGGTGTTTTGCTGGAAAGTGGTTTTGTGGTTCTATGTGGTGGCTCTTGAATCACGTAGTTGCTGGCTGTGTTGACGTCTTCTGGTGATCCTCACGGTCCGGGACGTAGAAGTGCCTCATGTAGTACAGTTATTTCCTTGCTAAGTAACCAAGTTTGGGGTTCCTTGACCTCATTTTAAGGGTTCTGTGGATATTTTCAGTTCTTAGTCAGCCAGGGAAAGGTTCGCATCAAAGTGGAGTGCTCTGTTTTGAACGCGCTGGATTTTTAGTTTGTTGGTAATGAGCTCTTGGAGAGGGGATGAAAAAGGATATTCTTAAATTGGGCATTTGACCATTCGGTACAAGTGGGGCTTAACGTGGGTTGGGGCTTGTCTAAAGCAGAATGAAGCTATGCCAGAGAACTTTTGGCTACCTTGTATGAGTACCACCAGACAAGTGAGGGGACTATGAGTACCCACCTGACAAGTGTGGGGACTATGAGTACCCACCAGACAAGTGTGGGGACTATGAGTACCCACCTGACAAGTGTGGGGACTATGAGTACCCACCTGACAAGTGTGGGGACTATGAGTACCCACCAGACAAGTGAGGGACTATGAGTACCCACCTGACAAGTGTGGGGACTATGAGTACCCACCTGACAAGTGTGGGGACTATGAGTACCACCAGACAAGTGAGGGGACTATGAGTACCCACCTGACAAGTGTGGGGACTATGAGTACCCACCTGACAAGTGTGGGGACTATGAGTACCCACCAGACAAGTGAGGGGACTATGAGTACCCACCTGACAAGTGTGGGGACTATGAGTACCCACCTGACAAGTGTGGGGACTATGAGTACCCACCAGACAAGTGAGGGGACTATGAGTACCACCAGACAAGTGAGGGGACTATGAGTACCCACCTGACAAGTGTGGGGACTATGAGTACCCACCAGACAAGTGAGGGGACTATGAGTACCCACCAGACAAGTGTGGGGACTATGAGTACCCACCAGACAAGTGTGGGGACTATGAGTACCCACCAGACAAGTGTGGGGACTATGAGTACCCACCAGACAAGTGTGGGGACTATGAGTACCCACCTGACAAGTGTGGGGGACTATGAGTACCCACCAGACAAGTGTGGGGGACTATGAGTACCCACCAGACAAGTGTGGGGACTATGAGTACCCACCTGACAAGTGAGGGCACTATGAGTACCCACCTGACAAGTGTGGGGACTATGAGTACCCACCTGACAAGTGTGGGGACTATGAGTACCCACCTGACAAGTGAGGGCACTATGAGTACCCACCTGACAAGTGAGGGGACTATGAGTACCCACCTGTCGGAAAAACCGACGCCATTTATAAACTTTTAATACAATATGCAGATAATATTGCCGCTGTTTTGTAATAAGTAATTAATCCTAGAATTAGTGCTTTAATCACTCACAGAAAATGAGGCATAGTGGAATTTTCCTCGGGAGAAAACGAGGATTAGCACTGCCACGTCGCTATTAAATTCCCCAGCTATATTATTGGGAATCATTCATAATACATCTGTCTTTGAACGGAATACAACGGAATACAACATAAAACCATTACCCCATGAACCAACTTAATTATCACTACTAAAATAGGATAAATATAGGCTTTCTCTCCACTTCTTAATAAAACGCATCTGGAGAACATGGGATGCAGTCAGTGGGAAAGGAGCTAGGCTGTCGCCATTTAAAACAACAAGAGTCTTGTAGGGGCAAATCTGGCTCCAATAATTTTCCCCTGGACAACAGTGTTATGGGATGTAAAGTGCTCCCATTATCATCACATTTATCGTCTACAATAAGGGAAGTGTCTTTTCTGATTCCTATACTTTCTAGTTTATCATTGGCCAGGAATATTAGATTTAGGAATGCCGGTTAGCACACGAGACTAGACACAAAACAATGTAATTATTATTAACCTCATCTAATAAATCATTGCAATATTTTCCCTGATATAGCTGTCATATTTAGGATTACAGCTGTTATTATGAGTGCCCTTTGACAGTTGTAATTGAAGAGGAAGTAATAGCAATTACTTATCCCTGTTCATATCTGGTTGTCTAGGCCTTATAACAACTATACAGATAAACAGATAAGGCTTCCAACATGTATTAACTAATACAGTGTAGTTGTAGTATAACTTAGCATTAATATTGTAGTGAATGTCTATCAATTTATAATTTATTTGCTAGGCTATATATATATATAAATAATAAACCCCTAGAATGTGTAGGAAGGCGATTTGTGGGAAAATTTAAATTATACAGTCCACTTTAAACATCATACAGTTTGCTATCGAAATATCTAAATTAACGTAAAATATAAATTGATATAAATTAAATAAATAAAAATCCCACGAGTCATTTTCCCCACTCCACCTGACAAGTGTGGGGGGACTATGAGTAACCACCGGTCAAGTGTGGGGTCTATGAGTAACCACCTGTCAAGTGCGGGGTCTATGAGTAACCACCGGTCAAGTGTGGGGACTATGAGTAACCACCTGTCAAGTGCGGGGTCTATGAGTAACCACCGGTCAAGTGTGGGGACTATGAGTAACCACCTGTCAAGTGCGGGGTCTATGAGTAACCACCGGTCAAGTGTGGGGACTATGAGTAACCACCTGTCAAGTGCGGGGACTGTGTACCCACTTGAAACATTGTATCGTGTCTTGTCCAATTATTATCGTTTTTGACAAGTCTGTCTTTCTGCTTTAAGTTTAGCATTGAGACTGTCCACTCCAGAGCCGTGGCGGCCGCCAGACATTATGATAGAGTGCATCCAGGACGCTGGATGCACTATAGAAAATATTTATTGATCAAAATTGTAAAAACAGAACGTATTTCTCTTCAAGTCTTTTTCATCCTTAAGAAAGTTTGCATTCTTACCTCACTCATGCATTAAAATATATTATCATACTGAGAATGGAATATATATGAAGCTAAATGTATATTCCCTTCAGGGTATGTGGGAATAAGCAATGGTATTTTACAGATATTCATTTGTGAATTTCCAGCGACAGTTTTCACAGCTGGACGAGAGACGGGCCACACACACCAGCACTCCTGGACCCGCTGGTGAGTCCCTAGACTGTAATTAAGATTCAACCGGAGGTGCTTGGGATATCTTGGTAAGAGCAATATCCGCAACAATAGTTGCCTACGGCATGGTTTCTTTAAGAATAGAGGGGGGGGGAATATATTGGATATAAATAGGAGCTGCCTCGTATGGGTCAATAAAAGCTGCTCGTATGGGTCAACAGGTCTTCCTATGTTATTACATTGTTCCTTGGGCACGGGTCGCTGGTCACTGTCAACCTCCGTTGACACTTCTTGCGTCAGCAGCCCCTTGAAGGAAATCAGCCGACCACGTCACGCGAGCAGGCTCCGCCAGGCAGCACACAAACACACCTGCTGTCATCAGTACACATATGCACCACTCGGCGCATACAGGCGGGTCTCTCTCTCTCTCTCTCTCTCTCTCTCTCTCTCTCTCTCTCTCTCTCTCTGAATGTCCTGGGGGTATCTTCTCTTCAACTCTTATCTCATTATCAGTCCTCACTTAATTTTTATTTTAAGCTCTCATTATTACTTGGCAGGTCAATATATCGTCTCTGACACACGAGAAATTTCACAGTGGCAAGAGGAAAAGCATTTAAACAAACTGACATTTTCACACACTAACAAATATATACAAATTATTCATTAGGTGAGGTCACCAAATCAGGGTTGGCTCCTGCTCCATAAAAATATGTACTTGTTTGTTACAATCACTTACCAGTGTAATCATATATGTAAATCTGTGTACTGTTATATTCTGACACATTATAACAAACTTCCAGGTTCTCACCTGTGGCATTTCCCTACATTCTGGTACAATTAAAAAGGCCAATCTATTCGTGATAAAATATCTTTCAATTTTATAACTCAGTGTAATATGTCCTTGGCACGATAATATGGACGAAAAACATGCCAAAGCAAATAGCCACTGTTTTGAGAAACACTATACTCTCTTGACGTGTTGTGGTGACGAATTATTTCTCAAAACTGAAGGTTATCCTCCCTTTATTTCTGTTTAATCAGTCTGGATGAAGGATATGTAATCACAATGTTTACAACAAAGAAAACAAAATTTTTTGCCTGTATCCAGTGTGTCAGTCATACAAATACAGGTGTAGCACGCACAAATAAATAAAAATCATCGCGATGGATTTGGAGTAGATTTATCAGGTAGTGAAGGATGGCCCTCGTTCACTGGTGACGCCCAAAGCATGTCTTGTCGCACCTCGTCTGGCTCCTCCTCTGCCGATCCCACCTCCCAGCAAGCACACAATCCTGTAATATCGTTTATACATCAAATAATACGCCAACAGAAACAATGAGAACGAAAATTTAATCAAATAATGTTTTCACCGAGTACTGTCTAACACTGCCGCCGGCGACGTTTGGCAACAACCCCGTGAGTTCACACACACACACACACACACACACACACTGCTCAAACACTCTCACTCGCTCTCAAGCCTCCGCTTAGCACACATCCATCACTCATCTTCCTGGCAATCACATCTTTACGCCCAGTTCTCCTATATCAAATCCTCCTTACCACATACTCTGGTTATATAAAGTCATTGTGCATCACAACGAATCACTGTATAATCCTCTTCACATCACATGGTAAATCACACCAAAGCAAGGACCTCTCACTTGTTAGTCGAGGCGGTGTGTCGTCTGCAAAATCAAAATGGCGCCTGTGGGTCAAGCTCTCCCCCCTTTGACTGTTTTCCAGTCCTTTTGGCCGCCTCTGATTCTCTTTTTCTAACTTTTGTGTGAGGTCAACATAGGCACTTACTTCCTGGTACACTTGTTACTTTGTCCACTTGTTGGACCAACAAAACCTCGGATTCGGACTGGGGTTCATGACCAAAGGGCTTGTTAAGGCTAGAGGAAGGAAGTATGAGAAATTCAGGAAATAGGATGGGAGTGGAGGATGAGTAGGGAGGAAGTTCGGTGTCCTGTCTGCCTCGGACAGGCATGTGGGTCTTTTTGTTTTATTTGAGTGTAGTGTTGGTGTTAGGGCCACTATGGGCCAGTAACCGGGTTCTTGATGTTATAACCTCCTTTACAGTATCCAACTCCAAGTCGGTAGTATACTTTTAGGGACTGTAGTAATGCAATGAATAAATAGAATAAATAAGAGGGGGATAAACAATACACGACTCCCTTCACCACTATATATATATTAATATTACAGTATATATACAATTATGTACAATAGCGCCTTTTTCACGCAGGACACTAATATTTCAGCAGTGTTCACCAACTCCATTGTTTTCACAAACACAGCGCCCTGTCCACTCGTGCTGGACAACACTGACGAGTTCACCTTTTTATGGGCCAGTCCACCCACACAGTATCCCAATGCACCTACACCCCACCTTCGCTCTCCAGCTGCTCACTGGCAGAGGGCTTCAGCAACACGCTGACAGGGGTCCCAAACCAACTCATACAGGGGTAGCTAACCCCTAGCAGAAGCCTCTAGCAGTTTGCTAGTAGCACTTCACGCTAGGCATATCACTGTAACCATTATTAGCCAATCCCAGGGTATGCCGATCTTCACCAACACTGCATATACCAGCAGCTAACATACTACTTAGATCGACGGTGGCTACTTAGTCTTCTTGCAGGACCAAGCTAAGGGTTCGTGGACTGCTCAAGGAAAACAGCCCTCATCGGTACAATCGTCTCCACATGTCACTTCTCTGGACATAAAACGTCATTAATTAGATGGACAGTACACTGGGGAAAACCATGGAGGTAACACTCGTTCACCGGGGAGTTGACATTATGCTTGTTGCCACAACCTAGATGGCGCTAATCGTGACATGCCACCCACCAAAGGTCATCCACAATGACCTCTCTTTCTAACTATGGCAGCAAACTGGAGCCATTTGCCGACACCACGCCACCACCAACAGATGGCGTTGTCTACATATCGCCCGATATTAGGGGAGTTTGAGTGCAGACTCATAGATGGCACTGGAGTTGCCACGCCACACACCGACGATGGTGTCGATACCGCAACAGCGGGTTGTGAGCACGGTGATTAGGCTGCCTAGTGTGGGTGTCCACTAGGCTCCTGTTGGGTTGCATTGAGCCGGTAACAGTGGCTTTGTGAGGCTGCTCCTACCAACATCAGGCTTTCTGCACTGTTTGCAAAAAACAAAAGAGGTTTTCGTTTTGTTTTATTGTTTTTTGTTTTGTTTTATTGTTTTTTGTTTTGTTTTATGGATATGTCTGTTT